AAGTCACCAGGGCAAGGAAAGCCGCTGAGGCTGTGAAGGGGTGGCATCCTGGCATGAACCTGATGTGCTTTAAGTGACAGTTTGTTGTGCATTTGCTGGCCAACTGGAGGAGATGCAAACGTGCAGGTTGTGACACACCTTTTCCATGTGACAATGGCCGATGTTGTCGCTTGAACACCGGGATGCACCACCCGCAGAACTTCAAAGAACCGTTCCATCACCCACAGCAAACTGTCAGTAAGGTCTTTAGCCCCTTTGACTAACACAAAAACATACACAAAATACGCAACAGCAAACACCCTCTATGTAATTTGTTTCATTCAGCATCTTAGCCTTGTAAGCTAGCCGACAATCAATCTGAAGACAAGCCCTGCTTGCTGCCAGTTCTTTTCTTGCCGCGGTGTCAGACAGCTGTTCGAGGCTGATCTGGGTCTGCGAAAACCCCAAACCCGACCTCTGGCTTGACGACCTGCACAAACTTCAAGCCACGACAAACACAGCACATCATCAGCCACCCCGCCTGGCCACTCCATGGGTCCCGAGTGCCCTGCTTCAAGCAAGGTTCATGATGGTTCATGCAGCTCCCATGTACAATAGAGAAGGAAGTTACGAAAGCTGGAGGGAGAAGAATAGGGAGCTCCCGCAGACCGCTACAATCCTGCTCAGAACCAAATCTAACTCCATTCTAAAGTTCTAAAGTTAATCACAGTCTGCAACTAGCTAGACGAAGCTTACTAGCAGCATTGATTGCCAACAGTGCGGTATCTCCCTGACGTTCCTCTAACCGGCAAGCGGTAGAAATGGGAGTCGCGCATGAAGGGGAGAACCCTCTGCCAAGCCCCAATACGTCGGGACTTTGTGTTGCAGAAATCCATGCAAGCAGCAAGTGCTGATTGATTGAACGAGAGTGAAGCTGCAAATTTTCCAGACCATTGATTGCACCCTGGAGATCCAGCAACGGACGACGTTATAGACAAACGCCGCCAAGTGAGTAGATATCTGCTGATCCATGGAAACCGTTCATGTGTTCAGAGGAAGAAAACTGATGAACGATGCATGTTGAACCGCGTGGTTTGCCGTTGACAAACTCCATGACCCGACAAAAGTGAACTCGAGGAAGTGCTGGGCACCAAGGGACGACAATTTGAATCTGTTGAGACAGCCCGTAAATCCATCCTCGCCTTGTCCAGCTTTGAGCCCTTGTCGTCCTCTGGCACAAGCACCTTGTCTATGAGACCATACCTTGGCAGCACCGTGGCGCTGGTACGGATGATGAAACCAGGGCGTCACCGCCAAGAGAGAGTCTTGGATGTAGGCTCGACTGCCTCTGCTGCGGTGAGGTAGAAATTTCGTCGCAAGTCCTGTCAATCCTTGACTGCCTTTTCGATCCAGCCTACAAAACTCGTGTCACTGCTGCGGCTCCTTTCGGATCTGCTCCATAGGTCTGCCAGTAATGCTGGACAGCTCCTCCTCTATACCTTCTCGTTCAAAGGGATCGACTTGCGAGGACGCTGCTCAAATGCGAAGCTTGGGCCAGTGCGCTCACTTTCTCGCAGCATCTGTTTTGCCTGTGCCAAGTCCACATTCACAACACCAGGCGTCAAGAAGGCGCGGCTCCAACAGGAGGTGTGCCTCCAACTCGATTTCGGTAGCCTGACCTCGAACAGGACTTTCCAATCGTGTCCGGTCAGACCAAGCTGAAACATCAATATCAGCAAATCAACGCCACGGCTGCTGGGTCCTGTTTTGGACAGAAGAAAGAGCGAGTTAGGTGTTGCAAAGCGCCGCCCAGGCCTGTCATCAGCGACGGCTTCGAGGATGTTGAAGGATTTGATTTCTGCTTTTGCAATCGGAATCTCCCCAGCAGCTTGGAAAGATCTCTTGAGGCGCATGCGAGCCAGCGGCTGCTAAGAAAGCACCCATTCCGGCACAAAGAGAGTAGCTGACGGTGGTGACCTGAGAGACTGCATCGTAGCGCATTGTGCATTTGTGCTCAGGCGTCATTTTCTTGTCTTACTCGGCTCGGGCCGAAGCTTTGCAGCCTTTCGCCTTCAGTTGGCCGATGGTATCATATAAGGCCAGTGCCTGGGCCGCAGCCACTTTTGGAATTCCGCTTTGTGCACACAGCTTAAGGCTTAAGCGAATCCTACAAGTTTGGTGCGAGACCACTCGAAGCAAAGCGAAGGTGCCTACGGAATGAGCTTGCAGTGTCAACATCGCTCGAGCTGCGGAGGGTTCGCTGTGAGACAGGAATTCGGAATGTATGGAAGGGTTAGTTAAAGGGGCGGGATGAAAGGACCGCGAAACGGAGTCAGGGACAATGCGTGCGAGGGGACTATCGGGGCGGCAAACAAAAATCACTCCTTCGACGTCAGGAATGAAATATTGGCCCCAGTAGTGATCTGCAGTGCAAAGTTGTCTGAGAAGCATGCTGGCTTCAAAGCCGCTCCGGGGCTGGAAAAGTAAATTTGTACCTGAGCTTCTGTCGAAGTGTCACGACAATCTTCCAAACTTATGACTCAGTTGACGGCTGGTTTCTTGGCATCTTCTGACTGAAGGTAAAGCAACATTGCCAGATACGCATTGGCCATGTTGTCATCGATGTACCTGCCCATTCTGAGTTGCAAGCAGAACAAGCTAGCGAATCCCAGTGGAACATGCGTTCGACTGCGTGAAGGCACTCCGAGACCATCAGGATTCTCTCTCGCAGCAGCAGCTCTCGCACAGAAAGCCACTGAAAGCGCTGCGTGTTTGGAATCCTGACGTGGGCTCGGGCTGTCGTGGCCAATGAAGATTATCGGCAAAAAGGCAGCCCCCGAAGCAACCTCCACGGCATAAGGGGCTCTGCTTGTCGAGCAACTCGCACTCGCCTGCTGCATCGTCTAAGTAACCTTTGAACCTGGACCACACGTAAATGCACAGCACACGCAAAAAGCTGCCTTGGCTCTGCTGTCAGCATTCCGGTGTCCTAAGCTTGCAGATTAATTATTCGTTCAACCTAAACAATTGAATCTTCTGCGATGCCTGCCCGGCATTGGAAACGAACACTTCTGCACGATCACGGGGGTACCTTAACCGGACTAGATGGCAGATGCAGGTGAACTTCTGAAGCGCGTATTACCAGACTGACATACTTGGTTGATGCTCGGACTGTGCGAGAAAACACAACGTGCAACATCCGGTCGAGCCGTCTGTAGATGTTCAAAGGCAAATGCAGACGAGACTCGTTGTGTGGTCGATTTTCACTTCTCAACAGCCAGTAATGTCTGATACATAAATCGCACTGCACGCTACCGGAGCTTGGTAGGTTCATGAAGCATTGCGATTGTGTGGGGCATTGTTCCAGGTCCTGCCAGCGTTCATTCAAAAGCGGTTGATATTCTGTTGTTTTGAGGAACAAACAGCACTCTGTTCTTTCCAGCATCGTCTTTTGGAGCATGGCTTTGGTGAAGGCTGCCATGTACGCAATCAATGTGTCTCCTCTTCCACATCGCGTGTGCATGTCAGGCTGTCAAGACGAAGTGAAGTTGCATGTTTATGCCGGCTGTTGTTGTTTGGTTGGTACAGGTATGTCCCGGGTTGGGGTATTGAGACTGATCGCGGAGTTTCTGTACCACCCTAAATGATCAATGCTGGTCGCTGATGCGATTGCGCGCACCTTCTAGGAGTGCGCAACAACTGCAGGAACTGTCCAAGATGGCCGAACGATAATGGCTTTACTTGATTCGCTGCTTGTTTGGCTGTTGGCCCTTTTCTGCTGACTGCTTCGGCGGGCAAGCGTGGCTTTATGCTTGTCGAGACGTGAATCCGCAAAGTTGGTTTCGGAATTTCCTGTGTTCTCACAGCGGGCATCGGTGGGCCCACCTTGAATAGTGATAGATTGACAGTCTTTCAGCGGAACTTCGGCGGACCTTCCCACTCTTGGAAAAACTTGATCAAGCATGCAGGCTTGTGGGGTTCAAGTGACCTTTCTTGATCTGGATTGGCAGCCGCGAGTGAGATGTCACTTCGGGGTTGCATTTCGGAGCTCTGCGGGCGCACCCTCGATGTGGTAAAAATAGTAGCACAGGCAGTCCCTGCACTCCGTGCAAGCGCACACCCCATTCAACACTCGGTTGGACGGGCTCGGCTATACAAGCAGTGGTGCCGGAAAACGGTTTTGTATCAGCCCAGCAAGACCAAACTAAAGTAGTACCGTCAATCTTTGCTTCCAGGCTTGATGAAGGCCTGGGGAAAGGCTGTGTTTGGGCGCAGCTCTTCGTTGGTTATTACTTGCTGCACCTCGGGCCGTCGCTTGGCTCTATCGGCACCGGCCTGTGGGACACCAACCGAAGTAATACACTAAAGCCGCACGGCAAAGCTCGAAAAGCGTCTTCACCTTTTACGAACACTCCAGAAAATATCGTGCGTAGAAGGGCACTGCCGGGCGCCGCCAGTCAGCAGAAGCAACTGTTTTGCTTTGCGAGGTGCTGTCGATGCAGGGTCCGTCTCCTCCATGGGCAAGCCTCGAAGGCAGCGCATGACACTCCAGTTGTTGCAGTATCGTCTTTGCATATTATTCGGCCAGCAACGAAGCTTCCAAAATCATTTGTGATCACGGCAATGACTGTACCTTGTCTGGACTTGAAAAAGTCACGTCTTCTCGAGATGTGTGGATGTGATTGTACGTTCAGGTCAGCACAGAGAAGAAGCCCGCTTCGTATCACACACAGCACCTGGTGCAGCTCAGCACATGCACAAGAGCAGCACAAGCGCGTCCGCTCAGCACAAATTGCCTTCCGCATGTCTGTCACGGCTACGGATCTAACCAGACAGCTTATTCAGATCCTTCGGTGCTGCGGATGGGTAAGCAGCCAATCTCAACCAGGCAGTCCCCTTATTGGATCGATAATTCAGTAGACTGCCGGCAGTGAGATTAAACGGGGCTTGGAGTCTGAGCCAGTGGTCTGCCATGGGGATTGGACTGTCTCGGCGTCTGCGGGCAGTCTGCAGGCCTGAGAAACGAGGGAGCGAATGGAGAGCACCCGTGATTGCTGCATCCGGGCTGTTTCGATGTAAGCAGGCGCTGCTGTGCTAGGGGTTGGACAGTCGTACCGGAGCGGTGTCACGATAAGGCTGACAGAACAGCATACTCAGAACGTCTCAGGGCATGGGACCTAGGATTTGACACTTAAGAACGAGACTACAGCAGAATTTGAGCTTTGAGCTTCCGACATTTCCGACTCGATGTGGCATTCGGAGTTCTGACGGTGTCCACCGTTTGGGACTCAGCCCAAACCCTGAGGTCGACATGTCCTTTCCCTTGAAGCTGGCAAGCACCTGTCTCTGATTCAATGGTGATGTTCGTCTGAATCTTGTTCCCCATCGCATAACATCTGGAATGCATTCGGCGATGTATGGGCAGAACGGTGGCACCCTAGGTGGACGTGCAGTGAAACTGTGAAACCGTTGAATTCGCAGAGGTGCCGCATTCGCGGGCCAATGTCGCAGAATGACGACAGCAGCTAGGCCTGCGCGGTCAAGGGTTGAAAGCCTTGCAAGCCACAGTCTTGGCACCGTGCCTTCTGCCCTTTGGCCACCTTGAGCATCTTCTCCAAGCGCTGCCTGGACAAAAGCATCCCACATGCTTGTCGCATGTTTGGAAGGAGTGTAATAGCATTAATGCCTGGTCGTCTGCTCGGCTTGAAGCTTTTCCTTGAGAGGCTGCATCATCTTGGCTACCTGCGAACTTCATCTCCACACTTTGTTTGATCTGTGTTTGCCCCCAGTCCAGTCCCCTCCTCCTCCCAGACGCTCCACGCAGTTAGCTGATCGCGCGAGGGATGTGTTCGGGAACTTCCCGGTCGGATGGAACACCAGCAAGCTGGCCCCGAGTCTAGGGTCCAGGGTCTAGGAGCCTCTGGCCCAGCACCTACACGGGGTGAGGTCGTTGCGGTAGTCGCAGGCTGCCGTGCAGACATGGGCGTGACATACTATCGAGACTCTTCAGTACCAACTCTGAGTGCTTGGACTTGCTCCGTGTTATTTGGCTATACGTCTGTTCTACCACATCGTGGAAACCACCTTATGCCGATGCTCACGAGCTTCCAGAATACCTGCTGGGGTGCCCGATCACTTCTGTCTTTATTTTTGGGTTCACTTGTGTCTTTTTTTCTGGGTTCGCTTGTGTCTTTTTATCTGGTGTCGCTTCTGTCTTTTTCCTCCTT